GCTTTGAGTTCAATGGGGAGAAATTGAACTGGCATGCCTTTTGAGCTCATCCTCCAGCCCATACTGCTGAGCATTTGCACACGTTATCTTTTTGTTCATGGATAATGGATTAATGATCCCAAACGATACAGTGTGGAGGCAGTCAGCGGTTGTCGCTTTGTGCTGCAAAGCAGAGACCCAACCTTTTCAGCCCACCTTACCTCTGTTTCTTTTTCTTAATGTCATCAGACCAGGACCATCAGATATCAAACACTATGTAGAGGGCAGTTCCTGACTGCAACCTAAGATTCAAGAGAGTCTGCAAAGTCCAGTGAGTTTCTCTAAGGCAAAACTGGGATGACACTGGGTCAGGCTAGGAAGCTGGGATTAGGTGGGAAAGCTCTTGCAAGGTAGTATTAATCTTGCCTGGGAGGAACTTTCCATGAAGTCACACAAAAGGCTAGTGACGAAGTTGGGACTGGGTTTATCTGTAGACACATACAGTTAAGTGCTCTCTCTAGTAGGGCCTGCTGATATAAAACAAAAGAAAAAAGCCCTAATGCTACTTTTACAGTGTCCATGACACGGGCTGTAGATGTCCTTGTGGCAAAACCTTGAGCTGACCAGAGCTTTGTATGAAGCCCTTAAGTCTTTTAAGTAAGCATTTCCAGGGACTTAAAGGGTCTTTTCAACTTTAAAGCTGGGTTTTATCAGAGTATAAAGAAGAACAATTAGCTTTTAAGAGGAAAAAAAAAAAAAGCACATCAAAAACGAAATAAAAGGTCTTGTTGATAATTTTCTCCCTGACCCGCTCATTTCCTTCGGGATTGGGTCTTAGTTTTGATTCCAACTCTAATATAACTTTCTGTTTGCAGCAAATTCTGTGTGTCTCCTCTAACTCCCGGAAACTCTAAAGAAGACAGTCTGTAGTTGATGAACTGCTTGCCGGAGAGGAAAAGAGTCACTTCTATGCAACGGTGGTCATGTTTTCTTCAGTTTGGATTGTTGAAGTGAGTTTGGTTTAGGATTGTATGGTAAGAAATGTGCTTACATTTGAGGTAAAGTCACTGCAACAGGTTAAAATTTTTAACATTCTTGCATGAAAATTAGGAAACTTCTGTTTAACTTGTTGCAAATTACTTGTCATATTTAGGATAGCAGAGTCAATCATAACTTTACTCTAACCTTATATGAGCCACATTTGCTGTAAATACTAAGAACATTATTACACAATGCCAGAGAAATTAACCTTAAGGACACCTTAAGCATTCATCTGATCCAATAATTCCCCAAAACAGAACACCAACTAATGTAATTAATAATGGGTTGAGGTTCACCTTCATTCTACGCTTGCTGGCTGCAGCTCTTTAAGAGATGTTTCTGTGCTGAAATACAGCCACACACCTGAAATTCACTGGTTGCTTGGTAAGATTCAGCTGATAACTTTTGGCATCTGTAGAATAAGTGTTCATATGAAAGCTTGTCACTCCAGGTTCTCTTTAGTCTAGAGACACCACAGCCTATAGATTGAGGATGTAACCCATCTTGATTATTTCAGATGTCTGCTTTAGTGCAAGATGGATCTCACTGCAGGCACCTGTATTTGCACAGGTATGTCCCAGCGCTGGAAGCACTGCACATGAATGAAAAACTGAAAAAGAATTAAAAAAAAAAAAAAAAAAGAAGAAGAAAAATTGGAACCAAGAAGACATCCCACAGAAGCTTTCAGGTGGTTTGTTTTTTATATTTCTGTGCTTTGTTTCATTATGTTGCACAATGGAAGGGCATGGGTATTTTACGCAGATCTGAGTTTGTGCTTTGTCAAGTCAAACCTAAAAAGCCAAAGTTTCTCATTTGGGTGGATGTCGATTAAAGCAGAGAATGCTCAAGCCTTTCAGACAGCAACATGTTTAGATGCAGCAACAGTGTTTGGAGTGTGCATCATGCTATGTTAACTCCTGCACATATAGTGCAGGGAGTGAAAAAGCAGTAAAGTGAAACTCAGAACATCAGCTCCTCCTCAAACAGCTAGCAAACTCCAAGCTTTTGTTGCAGTTTCGGGAGCCTTTCTCTCCTTTAATCATTGATGGAACAAGAATGTAGTCATCGTGCCGAAACCAAGAAATGAATCTGAATGAACAAAATCCCAAACTGCTTTTCAAGTAGGACAGTGTTTCTTCCATTTAGAAAATGCTTGATCTGTATGAAATACTCTGCAAGTCTTAGCTTAGTCACCGGGGTCTGGGGGAAATGCAAGCTGGTGCTGTTTTTTTGCCGAAGCTAGCAGTTCTGCTGGCCGTCTCACCAGAGCAGCCTAAGATTGGATGAACATAATTATCCTGTCATGCAGTGAAAGCTTCCAGTTTAGATCTCTGATAACATGGTGTAGTACTGCTAATTTAGGAACACAAAATGCAAACACGATAATGAGACAGCATTGCTACTGTAAGATCGCTCGCCAGTCTCACAGTCTGTACCAGCTCTCAGTACGTATGTAATAACTTACAAACCGTTTCGCCAAGGAGTTGCTAGGAGTTTGGCATTTTCGTAGTACCTACAAGGTGAAATATTGAACCAAAACTATATTGACAAAATGATTTCTGCTTCAAAAGTTTCCAAAGGGTGAAGCAGAGAAGCAGTATCCTACAGGAATGCAAAGATTCCTTCATGTGCGTTACCTAGACACGCCCATACCATGGGAATGTGCCTGCTAGCCCTTGGCTAACTACTTTAATTACAGATTTATAAGGCAATATATGATTTAATCAAAGAAATGGCTCATACAGCTGTGTTTGACCTCTTTCTTTTATTAGCATATTTTATGTTCATACTTTACAATATAATAAGTTATATATACAGCATTAAACAAAATTATTAGAATGTAAGCTTTGGCAAGATCTACAGGAATTTTTTTCATTCCTGTACACCTTCTGTGTAACAATAAAAATACTGTATACTAAATAAAATAATGTTAAATAGTCTGTGTTCACATTGGCACCATCGATTTCAAGACCCTAACTTTTCATGGCCCAATTAACATAAAAAAAGAGGATTCTTGTATATTCTTTTAAACAAATAAATGATGTATACTATTAAACAACACATGAAATATAGGAGGCAGCCCACTGAATAACACTGTAGTTACACACTGGCACAAGAAAAATAGAATCTTCATGTTTTCGGGTTTTTTCTTTGCTTTTTTTACTTCTAGTAGCAATAGTACTAAACTGCAAATTCGGGGTCTTGAAAATTTTGTTGAAGATTGCGAAGCTGTCAGCAGATCTAGAAATCTTATTGGAGCCTGTTGAAATCTGTATGTATTTGTCACTGATTTCAAGACAGCAAGAATTTCACCCCTAAATTAAACACCAATTAGGTAGTTAAATATTCAAAGAAATGCAGCTTGCTGCTTCATTAAAAGGAAAGTCAAAATTCTAATCAAATTTGGCATAGGCAAATTAATGGAGAGTGTATTATGATACGAAAGAAATGGTGGAAGAAGAATGAGAGGGATAGGTTTTATGTTGCAGTATGTACTTCCTCTGCTATACACATCAACTGCTGAAAAAATACTAAATATAAATGTTAAAAGGTGATACTAAATATTCTGCACAACTGTGATACTATCATAGATAAGATCTAGTTACTAAGTGATGGAATACTGGTTGTGAACTTCAGGGTAATAGCTAATGTTTTTTATAGTATTTTGTTCAGTCATGTATTTTGAAATTTAAAAAGTATTGCTTTGTAACTGACATGTCTCTTAATTTAGTGGTTGCACTTGCTGAAATCTGTCATCGCTCATTTTAGCTATAAATTAGGCAAATAGGTTTGGTAACAGCTACTGCCTTGTCGTCTGAACAAGTTTTAGAGAACTTTTAACTGAAAATCAGTGACTAGTTAAAAGGAAAAAATACGGTCAATTTTTGTTGTACAAACTCACATTAACGCTTTACCTTCCAGAGGTGTTGGTTTTCACCTGTGGATTCTGTGCTCATGGTCTATGTTTCTGAGAGTACAGCATTTAAAAATTTTCCTCTGCTTTTCAAGTATCTCCAAAGAAGTCTATTCTTTTTACTCTTACTGTCAAATGCGCACCACTGTTGTCTGAAATTCCTCTGCTTCGAATATAATTTGATATGTAGATGTCCCTATTGGAAAAATACATTTTTCATGGTAGTGGACAAGCTGGTTTTGTTGCTTCTTTTTTTTGTAACGGCAAAGAAGAGAAGAACTTGTCCCTCTCAACTTACAGCGAGCAACTGCCAACTTTTACTGCCCACTTGCTAACCAGCTTGTCCTTGGCCAGTCGGCAGTTTGAATTTACAATTTCTGAAATGTCAGTACGGACCAAGAGTGCATTTATGTGCATTATGTACAGCGTTGTGAAGCACTTCAATCTGTGAGTTATGTTGACCCTTTTTTTCACATAATATAGTTAGTTAATCTGAGGACTGTGTATATACACCTATGCACATACTTCTAGATTCAACAAACCCATAGTAAGCATAGAAAATGAAACCAGTTATGTATTAAATGTGTTAGAGCCGATAGAAATGTACGTGCCTAATCCGTATGAATTGATACTGTAGCTGTGGTACTGCTTCTGACGGTAATTATTAAACCATAGAATGAAGCCCTAAGAGACAGGAATATTTTCAGAGAGCAATTCAATGCTTTTCTTGAAGGCCAGGCAGGAAAGGTATCAGCAGGGTTATCTGCACTTATACACAGACAGCAAAAAGGATGTTTGTGTGTCCGCGTATTATCAGCAACTGTTCAACAGGATCACCTTGTTTAATGACATGTTTCATACTGAGCTTCTTGGGAGACTTCTGCTCTTGTGTTGGTAGATGTGTAACTTCTGGTTTTTTAGAAGGCAAAGAGAAGACCTTCCCGTTGGTTATCGGGAGTGATTATGTAGAAGAAACATCAGTGGTCTTTTGTCCAATGTCTTTGACGTGGTGCTTGAATCATGGTTCTTGGGGGTGATGTGGAAGCGCAGGTCCCAGGCAGGCATGTCAGGATGTCCCTGCCGGTTCGGGAGCAGGCATTGCTTGCGCCCACTCCAGAATATCCGCACACAAGGATTCGACAGCATCCAACCGTTCAATTTGCACCAGTTTGGTTAGCAGTTCTGGGATGCTGTAACCTGCTGTGCTGATGCGATCAAATAGCTGCATGCCATCTGTCATACCGCCTATCTCATCTCTCTTCAGTCCAAAGCTCTCGGCGAGGTGACGCCACGTTTTCACTATGGCTTTTTCTGTGTTGTAGGTCGAGCTGAGCATTCGGCTGGTCTTCTCCAGGCAATCAAACGGCAGCTCCGTAGGGCTCAGACCTGCAAAGTGAGGTGTTTATTGTCAGACGGTTCTGTGCGCGAGTTTTCACTATTCAAGACATTTATTGAAGTAGTACAGGATATACAGTTAGCAATAACTACAGCTAAAAGTTTTGAGTGATAGTCCATGATAGGTATGTCTAGCTCCAAAGTTATTACTGTATATTACCTAATTAATTCTTCCTAGTGACAGTAGGGTACAATAATTGGGGTAAAAAGTTGTCTGGGAAAGAAGTATTAGACGGGTTGTATGAATTCCCATGGCACTGCGCCTTCCTTCAACAATTTACTAGCTGTTAGAAAAAGTATATTGCAAGCGTATCCCTAGGGAGCAGCTCCATTAAAACACCTCTGCACGTCAGGCACAGGGTTTGAGCTGGAGAGACAGCGCTGACCCTTCCTGGAGTCTGTCACCGGCAGCGGCCGTAACATCTCTGTAATTGAAAGTTGCCCTTGTAGGAATGTGAGGAGTGAGGTGAAGCAACGATGCCAGGTGCTTGCAAGCATAAAAGTCCCTGCAAGTGCTCGATTGTCATTACTATCACTGAATCTCTAGAGAGGATTTAACATTCATCCTGTGGGGAAAAAGCTATTTTTTCTATGTATTCATGGTCACAGAACAGAGGAGAGAATCAGCTACAGCATTTTTCCAAAACCAGTATTTTGCTCCTGTATTTTTCCTCCTTCGTACTCACCAGCAGTAATTTGGTGGGAGACAGAGCTCCCTGAACCACAGAAAACTCAAATGCACATGCACACACAACGTGTGTGTGGGGGGAAGTAAATGCAGTCACGTCTTCTGTTCTGCAGGGAAATTACTTTGTGCCTCTTCTGCCAAAACAGTCCAGGTAGTCAAGTGCTAAAGAGGGTTAAAACACTTAAAACTTGGAAACGCCACTTTTTGTTGTGAGAGGTGGGACAGCATTTAGAGAAGCAGAGTAGGCCGAGACTTGTGTCTTCCCCTCGGTCCTGACTGTCCCCAAATCACACTTTCATATTTGGAACTAGTTTCTATCTGTTATCCAAGGGACTAAACAAATAAATCAAACAGTTTTCCTCTAGAAGGGGAACGCAAAAGCGCTTCTCTGCAACTCGGTCTGTGTGCGTGACCCAGTACACCCCCTCACCCCCTTCCTGCCCACGCACAGGCCTGGAGAGAAGTCACGGCTTGCTCCAGCCCTAGCCCAGCCTGGGCTCCGGGCACCGTGGGGCTTCCCGGCAAGTGGGTACAAATCTGCCTACAGACTGTCTTTTCTGGATTGGGATTTTCCACTTTCCACGGGAAGGCAAAGGTCTTTCTTATTTTATAGCAAACCCTTGCAATCTAATTTTGTGCTGCTAGTATAGGTGCAAGTTTTGTACGCTCACCTTCTGCAACGTCGCACACATTAGCGTACACGTCAAGTATCTTCTTCCTTCGGCTTTGAATCTAAATGAGAAGAGTTTTATTTCATTAATTTTTCAGTCACGGGAGTAAACAATTAGCAGACAGCAGTGGAAAACCTGTGGGAGATCTTCACTTCGTGGCGCTAGGGGTTAGCACATGATGTCCTCAAGGATCCCTTTTGAAGACTCAAAGAAAGGGACACAGCAATTATTCCATAAGGCATAAACCTATTTCTGATTTCATTTCCTACTGCTAGAGATCTTTCTTTCCATCTTCTAGTCTTTTTTTAGATCAATTGCTTTTCTGCTCCAAGTGTTTGTATGTTTTATTGCTCTTTCAGACCGAAGCAAACTCCTGACAATGAGGACAAATCCAGTACCACACATGCAGGCAATTAATGCAGGGATGTCCAGGTAAACCAGGACAGGGCTGGCCACAGGGAACCAAATTCAGACTGAAATTGCCTTCTTCCAGTAGTTTAAGAGGACTGTAGAAGAGGGGATCTTCCTTTCTGTCATTTGTCATAGAACTGCTTAGTGCATTACTAATTAACTCTATTTTCTTCCATGATGTATGGCCTCGTTCAATCTGAAACATTTTACAGATAGATTAAAAAAAAAAACAACTAAAAAACAGTGAGGCTTTGGACAGGGAGAATCTGAGGTCCAGGGTGCTCCAGTCATTTTTGACAAGAAAGAAACTGGGACTGAAAACCTGACATTTTCCAAACTGAAAATGGACATTTTGATAGAGTTTCATTTAGCAAAAATACTCTCAAGGTTTGGCTTTGGATTCAATGTAGAGTGAAAACAAATGTCAAAATGTCATGAGTTCTCAGGGACTGGAATTGTCATCCCTCTGCCAGCTCTCATTAGGACTGAACTTTCTGAAAAGCTGTCTTTTTTGATAAGACTTTAGCATTATCTCCACAAATTTGCCACTTTCCACTGCAAACCAGGCTAGAAAAAAAGCCCGCTTTCAGTATTTTGTTTTGTGGAAAGATTTTCCTCATTTTATTTGGGCTTTAAAGGGCAAAGCACATCAATGACTTGGATCAATAGACTTGCAGCTGGAGTCCACAAAGTGGCCACCTCACCTGAAGCCGGTCTCGCCAGCGCAGACACTGTGCAAGTCTCTTGTATCGCAGGGCAATGCAGCGGGACACGGATTGTTGTTCACATGTTCTTGGTATAATTTGCATGTGCTTAATTGCTTGTGTTGCTATTGTAGGCTTGGATTAGCTGTTTTAGAACCTTGTAAACAGGAAATTTTCTTTTAATGGGATTTATTAAAACTCCTCCTAAGCAATGGATGCTATTAATGGATGCTTATTTTCATTCTCCTCTCATTTTTAGGGCAAGGAGGGAGGTTAAATGATTCCATGCCCATGAATTACGCAGGATGCTCTTTTTACCAGAGCCAGAAGATGGGGGATTTGCAAAGCTCCTGCTGA